CCTACACTACGAGCCTAAGGCACCTTTAATTAAAACTTTGATCAAAACTTTAAGCCGCTTAAAAGATTAAGCGACTAATAGACTAACTAACTAAGGGCAAAACTATAGAGCTAAGCTAGCCGGGGTCGATCTTGCGGACAATAGGTTACTCCTCGATCTATCTAACCCTTTAAGCGAGGCGAACCTCTACTACTGCACTTATAATAGCCTTTACCTATAGAAACTAGACGAGCTGTGTTTTTTCGGAAAAGATAAGATAAGATTGACAATTGAAGGCTGCTAAACCTAGCTAATTAGGGCTAGCGAAACTACGAATAACAAGAACAATAACCCTCGGAACGGACAAACCCTCGGAAGCGGACATTGCTAAGTCTTTTAAGAGTAGACGCAAAGAACTCGGTACGATATTACGCAGAGCGGAGGCAGGGCTGCAATACCTCGTACGTCTACCTATTATAGTAGGGAAGACGCGCTCGTATTGTAATTAGTCGAAGGCCCTCAATTCTTATAGATATATATCACTTTATAGTTTATTATATATAGGGATAGCGCAGTTAGAGTTGGACATTGTATTAAAAGTAAGGTTTAACATAGTTATATAATTAGGTAGTTAAGTGTTTAATTTAGCGCGGCTAAGCAGCTTATTAGACTTGCTAAGTTAGTAGTAACGGAGGTCGAGGTTAGAATATAGAAAGGCTACGAGGGCGCGGCCTTTAGAAGGGAAGCGTGTATTAGAGGCTATACGTAATTAGCATATAACTAGCTCGAGTAAAGCTAGGGTCTTAGTGCCTTAGGCAGGGCTTAGCGCTTAGCGTTAGGCTAACTAGCCTGCCTTCCTCCTTCTCCTCCTAGTTCTCTATCGAATACTACTCGTACCTACTACTACCCTATCTACCTACTAATATACCCTTCTTACATTTAGGCTTTTCTCGTTTTCTAATAAGTAGTAGAATTAGACTAAACTCGTTCCTCGATTAGAGGGCGATTCCTAAAAGAATCCGTAGATCTAATTAGCCGCTCGGAGCTCGGCGAGTATAACCGAGCGGCCCGCAATCTAATTCTAACCTTATATTATCTACTTTATCTAGTCTACTTACTTTCTCGTAGCTATAATAATAGCTCTTCTTACTAGTCTTACTAACTACTAACCTATCTACCGAGGCGCGCGTTTTTAAAAACCTTACTAAAGGCCTTTCTAGCGTTCTTATAATAAACTCGCGTTATATAGGCGCCGCCGGCGGCAAGGAAGACTTCGCGAGCCTAAGGGTCGTATCGGGTAGAGATAGTATTATAAATAATACTTAGCTTATATCCTCTATATACCTAAAGGCTAGCGGCTCTTATTAATACGTCGCATCTCTTTTAAAGATTAAAGCGGCGTATAGTACAGAATTTAGTATACTTAGTAGCGTTATTGCGACGCACTTTAATACTAATAATCTCTAGGTCCTCTTCCTCCGCCCCTTCTATAATATATTCGATAAAAACTACCTTTATTATTATATAATACTCGCGCGCCCTTATAATCTTCTTCGGTATCGGCTTTTTACTATAACCCTTCGTCGTACGCTACTTTCTACTATTACGACAAACCTACTACTCTAATAGTAAACTAGTTCTTACCTCGTAGTAAGCCTCTTTATAATACTAAAAGTTAGACTAATACGGCTATAGTTAGCGCTACGTAGCGATAGTAAATATTAACTTAGTAGGCAGGTCGATTATCGCCTAGCGCTAGCGTATAAGATCGTCCGGCGTATTAAGTATTATATAAATACCTAGAATAACTTCGATATACCTTTTATATATAGATCTACGTCTACGAGGTACCTCGCCGTTATTGCCTTTATCCGCCGAGTACTCTAATTACTCTTCGGCCGAGGACTCGTCTACTTCTATATACGTCGTTACTTACGGCGTAAAGCGCGGAAATTCGACTAGTAGTAGCGTAGTATAGATAGTATTAAATTCTTAGAAGGCGGCGAGGGCTTTAATGCTTATAAGGTCGGCTATTTTAATAGAGAGAAAGAGTAGCGAGTCCTAAATCGATAATAGGAAATAGTAGTAGTAGAATATAGTAGTAATAACAAGGTCGATAAACAAATAAAACAAATAAGAACGCGCTTATAACTAAGGCGGACGGAGCGCTAGCAAATCTATACCGAGTCCGGTCCTTGGCTGCATGTCCCGATTTGGACTAATTCCTGTTAGCTACTATAGCCACGACCCGCCTTGGCCAGCCGTCATCTTCTTTTGATAGAGCCTCCTCCAATTTCTAATCAATTGTAATTAAGCCCCTCCTTCTCCCCACAAGAACGCCCGCACGGCAGCGGTTCGGCAGTTGATCATCTGCAAGGTTCCTACTCACCAAACCAGATTATTATGATGAATCTGAACAAGGGAGCTGCAGAAGAATATAACGAGAGAGCTGTTTCGCAGAAAAAGCCATTGAAGTTCACGTACCCTTGAGAAACAACGGTTGACAACAGAGCAAGAAAAGAACAGCGCCAATTCGACCCGCATAACACAGAGTAAACAAGATGGGCGAAATCGTGCCACTTTGGATTGATGGCAAAGAGACCACGACCTCGATCACGTTCGATGTCGTAAGCCCTGTGGACAGCAAGAAACTTTGGTCCGCAGCATCTGCGACGAAGAAGGAAGCAATTCAAGCCTGTGAGGTTGCTCAAAATGCATTCAAGACATGGCGCAAGACGAAAGCTGCAGACATTCAGGCAATCCTTCTGAAAGCTGCAGACATCATGGACGGCCGCCGAGACGAACTTGCCCAGATCATGATGCAGGAGACAGGTGCTCTCCGGCCCTTTGCTGACTTCAATACACAAACCACGATCGATTACCTCCGCGACGTTTCTGGAAGAGCCTCCAACATTCACGGCGTGATTCCGCAAACCAAGGATCCCAACCAAAGTGCCTTCATATACAAGGAACCATACGGAGTCATTCTGGGCATCGCGCCATGGAACGCGCCATACATTCTGGGCTGCAGAGCGTTTCTGTTCCCCATTGTCGCTGGTAACACAGTCGTCTTCAAAGGCTCCGAGCTGTCACCGAAGACGTTCTGGGTACTGGGACAGATTTTCAAGGAAGCCGGTCTTCCAGATGGTGTTCTGAACATAATCTACCACCAGCCTTCAGATGCGGCCGAAGTCACCAATACCCTGATCGAGCACCCGGCTGTCAAGAAAGTGAACTTCACTGGCTCAACACTCGTAGGCTCCATCATCGCTGCGAAAGCTGGCAAAGAGCTCAAACCAGTCCTGATGGAGCTCGGAGGCAAAGCTTCTGCAATCGTGTGCGAAGACGCCAATGTCCAGAATGCAGCTTTCCAGGTCGTTCTCGGCTCCTTCTTGCATGCCGGACAAATCTGCATGGCCACAGAACGTGTCTTGGTGCACCGCAAGATCATAGACGAATTCGCTTCGGTGTTGAAAGCCGTTGTTCCAAAGATCTACGATCCAAATGGCGACGAGCCGGTCCTCGTTGCTAAGGCAGGTGCCGAGAAGAATTACAGACTGAGACAAGATGCTCTGGCGAAAGGCGCGCAGGTCGTCTATGGGGATCCCGCAGCAAACAATTCCTCCAACTACAGGATCCAGCCCCTCATTGTGCAGGACACGAAGAAGGACATGGATCTCTGGTACACGGAATCCTTCGGACCAACGCTGTCGCTCATCCCCATCGAATCCGATGAGGAGGCGATCGAGATCGCGAACGATACCGAGTATGGACTGTCCGGTGCAGTGTTTACGACGAATCTTGGGAGAGGCTTGAAGATTGCCAAGGAGATTGATTCGGGTGCCATTCACATCAACGGCATGACTGTGCACGACGAGGCGGGCTTGCCTCACGGTGGGGTGAAGAAGAGTGGCTGGGGCCGGTTCAATGCTCAATGGGGCGTTGAGGAGTTTGTCAAGCTGAAGACTGTCACTTATTATACTGACATGTAAACTGTACTGGGACCGAGGGAGAGCATCATGTAGGGTCCCAAACGACTCGCAAAAGTAATAGTCGAGAACAAATCATATACAGTCTTCACAGTAACACCCTGATTAAGCGAGATGGCGGAAGGGGGTGATCCGTGAAAACAAGATCTAACTGATCAAAGCTAGCGTACTTCCTCCTGCAGATGGCATACTTCCGAGCTTGGCCATTCTTGGCGTAGCGCCAACTCAATTGCACCCCCCCTGTTTCTGCGCTTTCTTCACGCGTGTCCGGTGTATGATTATTATTCCCGTCGCGCTTCAATCAACATCTTCGCCTGCATTTCGACATCGCCGCGGCTTCGCAGAGGTAGACTTGAGCGCACATTGCCGACAGCATGTGGGCACGAACGCTGCGAGTCTGCCGGCGCCGGCCCACCACAAGCCAGTGCGGCAGAAATGTGTTGCGCCGACGAAACCAGACGTACCAAGGACCTCATACAACGCCTCATACAACGTATTTCCAGCACCCAGAAGCCCCGAAGCCAAAGCGACGGATCGTGAGAACGGTTCTATGGAGTACCTCGTGTTTCGGCCTGGGAGCTGGCTATCACTGGCTTATGGGCGAACCACTCGATCTCCTCGGCGCGCTGGCTGGTGGTGAGCTTAAAGATGTCATGACAGATGTTGTTGCCACAGCAGCTCTGGATGCAATAGCGAAAGAAGTGCCTCCAATTACCATGGAGCAAGCCGATGAACTTCTCCGCGCACAGTCCGGCTATTCTGTTACTCCCAAGGCAGGTCACGGGCTACGGTCTTGGGTCAGATCACACTTGCTGACCAAACATAGACCGTCGGCCACACTTGTCAGATGCCGTCCAATATGCCATGCGAGGATACATGGTCGGCTGGCGCCTACACTCTCTTCAATGATCCAAAGCGCGATTGGTGCGAATGGGCCATCTTCGACGGGCATGCTGGGCCCAGAACTGCGCAGATGCTGAAACAAGCCCTCCCGAACGTGGTCGGACAAGACCTATGGGATGCCAAGTGCATGGACCAGTCCTATGTTCCAAATGATTGGCACACTGTTAGCACAATCAAGAAGTCCTTCCTACAGCTTGACAAAGACATCCTCGACGAAGCCGCCAAGCGCATACAGTCCGGCGGCCCTTTAGCCGAAGTGGTATCTGCTGGAGCTGCAGCCTTCTCAGGATCGTGCGCTCTACTTGCCCTCTATGATCCCGCACGAGACATTCTGCGCGTGGCAAATGTCGGCGATTCTAGAGCAGTCCTCGGAACTTGGGACAACGCCGCCCAGAAGTACGTAGCGAAACCTATGTCCATTGACCAAACCGGCTTCAACCAAGATGAGGTCACGCGCTTGAAGAAGAACCACCCCGGCGAAGATGATGTCGTCGATCCGTCCAGTGGTCGTGTACACGGAATTGCAATCTCCAGAGCATTTGGCGATGCCAGATGGAAATGGGCGACTGACCTCACTCAGCTTGCCCACGACCGCTTCTTTGGGCCCAAGCCGAGACCTAAGGGCATGATCAAGACACCGCCATACTTGACTGCTGAGCCAGAGGTCATGGAGACTAAGGTCAATACAGGCAATCGAGCTGACTTCCTGATTATGGCCAGCGATGGTCTTTGGGATCAATTGTCCTCGGAGGATGCTGTTGCTTGCGTGCAGATGTGGCTCGACAAGAACAAACCTGAAGCATTCATCGCCGAAGAACTTGGCCAGAATGATTCGTGGAGGGACTACCTCCGGAAATCCAATCGCCCACCGACCTATACCAGTGCCAAAGATCTCGCTGATGATGACACCTACTTCGATGAAGATGAGAAGTGCTTGAAGTGGCGTGTCAAGCAAAAGCACTTCGTTGTTGAAGACGAGCATTGCGGTGTTCATCTGGTCAAGAATGCTTTGGGTGGAAAGCGAAGAGACTTGTTCACTGGTGTGATGAGTGTCCAGCCGCCATACAGCCGGAATGTGCGAGACGATATCACCGTCCACGTCATATTCTTTGGAATCGACACGGAGCCTCTCATGAAAGCTGCGAACAAGAAATGACTCACCGTGGATGTGAAGTCGAACATATCTTATTCAGTATCTACTAAGTAACGTCGGAAGAGCGACTGTTCTTGGGCCAGGAGTTAGACGGCTCTAGAGAAGCGCGCGGCTCAGCGCTCTCTCCCAAGCGCTTGTTGCTAACGAGTTTAGAGAGAAAGCGCAGAGGTGTGCGATCAGAGCCTCTGTCAAATGGTGCGTCGAAATGCTGACGGGAGCTCAGGTGCTTACGGTCGTGCTCAGATAGGGCGACATCGCGGATGGAGATGTTATTTACCAGGACATCCAGTATATCAGTGCCATCTTATCCAGACGAGATGTGCTGTCGAATAGATTAGCGAAATAGCGCCAGGCCGAACGCAACATGCGCAAAAAATTCTACGCCATCAGAGTCAACGCTGTCGACCGAAGCGCGTTTCCTTCGACTCGACAGAACCTTCCAAGCGAGCACGCCGATTCAAAGCCATGGGGATGAGGCGATGACCTGTATTCCAGCAGAGCAGTGAAGTGAATTGCTGCATGGTGTGTCATTGATAGGTGAGATCGGGATGTGGAGCACGAGTGAGACTCGGCACACCATTTGAATTGTCCCCCATGGGCCCCTCTAAAAACTCGTTGCCTCGCGGGGTTCGTCGGCAAAACTGGGATTCTAGTTGAGTTCTTATGCAAAACACGTCTGTGCTAACTTGTGCAAAGCGGATTCGACCAACCAGATCTCCTAGTTCTTATACAGCAGTTCTACGGACTTAACCACGGACTTCGTTTAGGGGATAGCTATATAGCGGGTTGTCTGCGAGCTCCAGAGCTGAATCTCGTCTATTAGCCGACATCACGCGAGCTCGTGTGATTCGTGGAACTAATTCCAGTCGGTACATCATCCTCCGCATTGAGGCATTGAAACTCGGGACAAGCACGTGGAGAAGCACAATCGTCACCGTCACTACTCGAAGAATGATATGCCCTTCGAGCGACCAAGATGAAGTGGACAAGTGCAGCCCTCGCCACATTCTCGGCATCACATCTCGTACACGCTTCGCCACAGCCACACAAGTCGTTCTTCTACGCTGGCCATGATCTCTCCTCATTGAAGATCCTCGAAGATGGCGGTGCGACGTATAAAGATACAGCCAAGGGCAATGCTACGCGACAAGCCGAAGATATTCTCGGCGATGGCGGCATGAATACTGTACGCTTGCGCCTCTGGGTTAATCCCACTGTGCCATATGACGGCCCTCCAGGATGTATGTCGCCACCTACCTACGCTGAGTTTGTGAGACGTGGTACTGATAGAGCAGACTATGAGACGTATGATCTAGACTATATCACGACAGTTGCGAAGAGATTTCATGAGAAGGGATATAAGATCTATTTGGATTATCATTTCTCGGATTACTGGGTAAGAATTTGACCGACTAGAGAGCGTGCTTGAGCAATGAGTACAGACAGATATTGACCTTGCCTACCCACAGGCGGATCCTCAAAAGCAATGGCAACCTACGGCATGGCCCACAACTCTTCAGCCCCTCGCCTCCACTCTCCGCAAATACGTCTCCGACACCCTCCAACACCTTCACAAAGCAAATGTCGACACCGCAATCGTCAGTCTCGGCAACGAAATCCGGCACGGCATGCTTTGGCCCCTCGGCCGCGTGAACGTCGATGTCGAGCCCGAGTCCGCTCGTATCGCCAACTTCACGGGTATGGCCACGCTCTACGCTGCAGCGCGATCTGGCGTCAAGGATGCAGTTCACGCCGGGGTCCCAAAGCCTTTGACCATGATCCATATCGACAATGGCTGGAACTTGACTCTGCAGAAGCGGTGGTTCTCGGCTTTGACCGCTACGGGCAAAGTCAAGACTTCGGATTGGGATGTTTTCGGTTTTAGCATTTATCCATTCTATGGCACGAATGCTACTCTGGATAATCTGAAGACTAGTCTCAACTGGGTGGCGAACCAGTACTGCAAGCCCATCCATGTCGTTGAAACGGACTGGCCGGCGATTTGTACCGGAGCTGATGCTCCAGAGTTGAGTGAGCCGAGTATTCCTGCTTCGGTTGCCGGGCAGCTCGAGTGGGTTGGAAAGGTGATCGACGTGGTGAAGCAGTAAGTTTCATTCTCGAGGAATGGAATTCTCTTTTGCAGATACTGATGGTTCTTTTCCCTCCCAGACTTCCGCGCGGCCTCGGGCAAGGGATCAATTACTGGGAGCCCGCGTGGCTGAATAATACAGGGCTGGGAAGCTCATGTCAGGATGCCATCTTGTTCGATTCCGATTGGAGTCAGTACCCGAATGTCACTGCTTATAGCAGGAAGAGCGTGAATATGTTCAGGGGGGCTGCAGAATCACTACTAGAGAGCGTCTATAAGGAGTGACGCTATTCGTTCAGGTTCCTGATCCAGGCTTCAGTATCAGAGACACATCTCCATTCATGTTGCTCTGAGATAGACTTCGCATCTCTCCCGGTGGTATTGTGACACCCGCGAATTTCGGAGGTCTTGGAATGCATTCGAGCTCTTGCGGCTCCGCAGTAAGTGACGGTATTGGCGCTCCATGTTTGAGGACTTCCCGCAGCTGTTGTGGTGAAATTGTGCCTTGAGCTACAGCATTAAGCAAGGTGAGGTATTGTGCGCTGTGATCGGTTTGTATTGGACTGATGAAAATTTGTCTTGCAGTCTCGAGTTGGGCAATTGTGCTGTTGTTGACCGGGGTTGAATCTAGCTCCATTGGGACCTTTGGCGGTCTTGGTGGCGGATCGGTAACATTGACGGAAGGCATTGAGCTTTCTGCTGAGCCAGACATCTCACTTGTTGTTTCCAAAGGGGGACAGGTAGCGCGTCGAGGGATAGCTGCACCGTTCGTTGGCGGAGGCGGAGGAGCCTTCCGGCGGACAGCTATTGTGGCGGACTTTGCAGGGGTTTCAGCAGGAGGCGACATCACTGGCTTTGATGGAGGTGGCACAGAAGCTGAATGTCTCGGAGGAGAAGGTGCGGTCGGCGAAGTAGGAGTTTGCGTTGATGAAAGCTCAGAAGGCTCCCTTATGGGAAGCTCTACAAGCCTGCTTGGTCCAGCTTGTACTCCTTCGCTATCTGCTTCGACGATGCCATTTGCTTTCTCAGATTGCGGGAAAGTCCGGTCTCCGAGAGTTTCGTCGCTGAGTGCTGGGGAGTATGGAGGAGGCGTGATGGATGATGATGTCCTCGTTGGGCTCGTCAGAAGAGTTGGCATCGAGGCTCTTGGGGACACTACAGTGTCCGCCGGCTCAGCTGTGGGATCACGAACAACGTATTTGCTGGGCAGCGGATAGTGGCCAATCTTTTTCGTCATCTTCTTGCCAATCTTCTTCTCAAACCCACTCGTCATTAATGCATCCCAGCCGATGATCTTGTGCGTGAAGCCAGGCATATTGGCCAACCATGACACCAGAGACTCGGCTGGGGTGGCTGGTGGCAAAATAATGAGTTCTCCCGGGTGAAGGTTGAGACTGCCTCGACAAAGAAATGCGTGCAAGAGGCGTCCAGGATCCATTTGATGAAACATCGCTAATTCCCAGTTTTTGGTCAGCTGGCAGCTGAATGTACTTGTCCAGCCTGCCCATGGCAACCCCCAACTCGAAATCTTTTGGCCTGGAGGTGCAGGGTGGCCTCTCTTGTCGAGCTCCTTGCCGAAGTCTTCGCAGTCGGAGAGGGCATGCTGGATTTCCTTCTTCGGCAGTGGTTTGTAACGTGGTTGCTGCTCAGCGAAAGAAGATATCGACGGACGCTTGGCCAGAAATGCCATCGGTTTTACCTGAAGCACCTGCAGAGCTCGATCGAATGCAAGGAGTACAGGCCTATTAGGCTGAGGATCAGGCTTCTTTGCGAACAGGCTGGTCTCCTTCTTGACCTTCTTGTCGAGGAATTCAAAATCTGGACAGGCCCAATTCCAGTCTCCGAAGACACAAGCACCAAAGCCACGGTAGACGTGCATCGGAGCGAACACCGCGCAAATGGTCAGACCCGCAGTCACCAAGTATTTGAGTTCGTCCGCGAGCGATTCGAAGAGTTCCTGAACTTTTTGATGGCCGCAGCTGGCAATAGCAGTCTGAACCTCGAAGTAGGTTGCTTGATAGTAGGCGTCGTCAAAGACATTGAGCGGTATGAGTGCTTCACCGATAAGGGCTAGAACCAGAAGGACATCATCGACTTGCGCTTCAACATCCAGTGCCGGAGACGCTATTTGTTTGTCTCTGCTCGCTTTTTGAGTCCAGAGCGCCTTGACAGCTTTAGCGAGCTGGCTGGAGCTAGCACTGACTACTGCAACGGATGTTGGTGATGGTGACATCTTGAAGTGCCTCGTATCAGCCTATGCGAATCCGAGCAGGCATCAGGTATTGATCTCAGGATGTAGCCGCGTCCTCTCCTCGCCTGGCGGCAACACTCAGTTTGGTGTCCAGGTTTCCGAGCACGCTGACTGCTGACGGGCCTTAGTCGGAGAGCCAATGAAGCTATATCACTGCTGACGATGTGACAGAAACGACAGGCGTGAGGTGGTGTTGAGGTGAAAGAAGGATGGGAGGATGCAATTGTGATGAAAAGAGTGCGGCTGTGAAATGTGGAGCCGAATATTCAACGATTGGCCGATGATATTCAGCCCCCGTCTATATATGGACGGCCAAAGTCTTGCTGCTCAAGGCCAAGAGTAGTACGTAAGAATGGTGATGGAGGAGGAGCAAGTCCAATGCCTGCTACCGCATTGCTCTGATACATCTCGATTCGAGCTTGACAGAGAAAGTCAGATCTGGGAGACGAGGCTGAACAACATCGTCTCCCTTTCTCATGGGAATTCGACACTGCCGCATCGATCTCAGTGGATTCACTACGGTCTGTAGTCCGGTGAGAATCGTAGCCGCTATCTCGATCACTCCCATCGGTAGAGCTCGGGGAAATAGCTCCGGCTAGACATGTGGTTGTATGAGCTTCCGGCGGCGCGCGAGCTGATATATCGTATTTCATGTCAGTCGTTGAGGTCGTGATACTAAGATCTATGGAGGCACCTGGAAGTGCAATGAAAGGAGAAACTTCAACGTTAGTCTTAACGTTGATTGATTATGCCATCTCCGTCAACTTCTTTCCCTTAAGTTAGCAGCAAGTTCACACATTTCTTCACCGTCTCAGTAGAAATGCGCCGTGAGTTCAATCCTCTGCTGCAGCATCCACAAGGCCCATCGGTATAGTTTCCTCGTTTGTCATCGCTGTTGGCGCCGTTTCGTCAGACTACCGCTTTGATCAAATAAGGCCTATTTAATAAGATTTCATTTGGAATTTGACCAAATAAGCGCTTCCTTGGTATTTCACCAAAACAGCCCTCTTTAACCAAATTCGCCCTCCTGCAAGCTTAGCATGCTTAGCATGCTACTACACGCTTACTGTCGTATCCGGAGATAACAATTGACTTATTTCCTAGTAAAGAATAGGTATAGAAAGCGGTATACTAGTTTCCTTAGCATAACTATACAAGTAGGAGGTATATCCAAATTCGAAGGAGGACAATAAATCCGATAGCATATGTTGCAGAGGATAGAATAGATTAGAAGAGGACGATTAGACTAATATTATAAGTAGAAACAGCCCTAAATCCTCCGTTTAAACGCTACGGTCCTCCTAATGTTACTGTCTTCGATCTCCGTACCCTCTATTAGGTACTACGCAATAAGGCCTTCGTATTGCGCCTCTTCTAAACGCCGGCAGGCATAGTATAACCCTTTAGCTGCCGCTTATAGTTATTATTGTTATCGTTACGAAGCCGAGCCTTCTTAGTTGGCCTGTATTGTCGCTACGGACGGTTATTAACTTAGCTAGGCGTTGTTAACTCGTCGCTACTAAGCAGAATAGCGTTACTAGAGGGCTCTATAGTAGTAGTAGAAGAAGAAGCTAACGGTTGAGAAGTTGTTAGCGCCTTACTAGCTCTCGGTATAGAGTCGTTGTCGCTCTGTACGTTGTCGCTCTATACGTTGTCGCTCTGTACGTTGTCGCTCTCTGCCTATAGCTCTACACTGCTACTACTTCTAAGGTTGTTAATGTCTATAGAATTGAGAAGCTCTTTATTAACACTATCTCCGGCAATAGACTCGTTAGTAGCGTAGCCGTAGTCTTCCATATTGTCGTAGGTATTGCCTTGTCCGTAGCAAGCGATTAAACACGGTTTGCCTACCTTGCGACAGCTATAAAGCATAGAGCGACAACGGCTCTTAATATAGCGGCAGGCGCTATATAAAGTTAATAGTATGCGAGCCTGCAATTTAGCGGCTTCGGAGAGTGTTATCTCCTTATTCTTATAGCTAGCATAGACTAAGAAGTCAGCAAAGAAGAAGCAGTCGCCTTTAACGAGGTACCGAGTGTACTAGTAGTGTTTAATTAGGCCCTAAGGAGACAGCAGTTTAAACAGTAGTTTAGCAACTCCATTGTTATCTTTAAACTGCTCTATAACCTAGTATATAATAAGCCTTAGACCATTAGGCACTTTGTACTGTTTCGGTATCTATAAGCCGACAATATCGCTAATCTCGAAGGTCCGTAGATTCTTATACTTACGTACCTTATCGGCTCTTAAATTGGCGGCTTCTTAAGCGGCTAATATATAATCTATAAGCATGTTCTGTTTATAGTCTATAGCGGAAGATATGCTAGCGCTAGAGGTGTAGATCGTACGTCGCTAATTGCGGATATTATAAAGAGGTGTTATAGAGATATTGCTATTGCCGCAACGGTTGTCGTCTATAGGTAGTTTAATAGGTACGTCCTCCTCGTTAAATTGAGGCCTATCGTCAACCTACTAAGTGTTATATCTATCGGCTTCTTTAGTCGCTATGCTCTTAGTGTCGTCTAGTATCTCGTCGATAGCGTACAGTTTATTAGGCTTAAATAGCAGGTCCGCATCTCCTTTAGTTGCTGCCGCTATAACTTCTTCTATAACAACGCGAGGTTGCGTTAGAGGGTTACGGTTAAAGAAGGCCTTAAAGGGTGTTATATTAATCGCCGAGTGCTACGTATTGTTGTAAATTCGAGCCGCCTCGTACGCTGCTATAACCTAACCTCTAAGGCCAAGTTGTAGCTTAATAGCGACAATACGGCGCTTGAGGACACCGTTAGCTTGTTTAATAAGGCCTTGCGATTGCGGATAGTACGGCGCACCGTAAGCGATCTTCGTACCGTACGACTTTAACAACTTCTTAACTACGCCCTTAAACTCTTTGCCGTTATCTATCTAATATAATGCCGTAATACTAACAAAGCAGGCGAAGTCCTATATATAGAAAGCAATCTCGGCGCTCTACTTCGAAGTAAGCGCGTAAACGCGGCAGAATTTAGTCTTATAGTCCTTTAGGTATAGGAGATAGAGGTAAGGGCCGTCGGGGTCGTTTAAGAAGTCAATCTAAGGCGTAGAAGTTAGCTGTATTCGTTGTATTCTCAATAGTAACAAACCAGGTCTATTTGAACTCGAGATAGAGTCTTCTCGGCGATAATGTGTTATAGAGGGTCGCCTTTAGGTATAGCAGGTCGACAATTAATTAAACTGCAGACCTAATAGTACCTTAGAACCTCTATAATATCCTTCTTCGTTATACTATAGAATTTCTCGTTAACTAAGTGCTGAATAGCTCTACGGCGCGCGTATCCGAAGTAACAGTATTTAGTCGACAGGACATAGAAGATCTCGTATTTACGTATTACCTTCTTATTGTTTTCCTTCGTATAAAGGCGCTGTTCTTCCTTATTCTACGAGAAGCGATATAGAGCCTAAATCTTCTTATTATAATCGGCTTTGCTGAGTATATTGTATCCTATACGACTAAGCGTAGCATTATCGACTGTAACCTATTAAACAATGCGAAGATAACGCTCTTAAGTTATTAGTATCTTGTCGTAGCCCTTCAGCTTCTTCTCTTTAAGGTATTCGTTAAAAGCGACGTACGCTAATAGAGGGAATAGATTGACGCGTTGTTTAGTATTCTAGCTATCGAAACTAGGTATAACGACGGTCGGAAGAGGCTATAGTCGTACGGAAGGGCGTATAGGCGTATTACGTTGCAGTTGGATGTTCTATCGTACTGATATCGGCGATGTTAGTCGAAAGGAGAGGCTAGAGGCAGAGGCAGAAGGTTGACGAGACATTTCTAAAGTGCGCTTTGTTAGGAACACGATTTTAGCTAATAGCTTTCGGACTCTATAGCAACATAACACAATATCTTTATATTACGCTGAGTACAGCAAACGACTCGAATAGATGTACAGAGTATTGCTATTGTTACTCCGGTATAATAATAATAGTGCGTAGGTGTATTGTAAAGAGAGATTGAATTTAGCTAGGATCTGCCTCCTATAGCTTGGCAGACTTATCTTACAATCCGGTTTCTACACAAACTTGACGAAACAACACCTGGAATTGACCAAATACGCCCTATTTGATCAAATTCAGGAGTCTGATAAAGGACGCCTTATTTGATCAAATTAAGCTGAGGAACAGTGCGTTTTTGGTCAAAGAGATCGAGATTTGATCAAATACGAATGGACAGTAACATCGCTCCCTCTGGTCTGAGCTCCTTGATTCTACTACCACGCTGACAGACAGAAGCAACTCGGCTAGACAATGGCCTTCACGAATGCGGCATCAGCATTGCGTGTTTGTTGGTGGTATTCTTGCTGCATCTCCTGCGCATCGTCGTGAGGCTTTTGATTGACCTTTTCAAAAGCGGCCAATTCTTGTGCGTACCAGGCTTCATCTTTGGCCATTTCCTTCGGTCTTGGTGGCGCCGTGATAGTGCGGAACGTACTGGGACTGACAGGCTGAATTGTCTTCTTGACAGGTCGGAAAACTCCATCGCTGGCAGTGCTCTCAACCGGTGAGGTCCAGTCCACACGCTTCGGTGGTTCCATGCGGCGGCTGTGCTTGAAACAGAACGCCTGCAAATTGGTCGAACGGTACGTCTTAGCATCAGTGTCGTTCGATGCCCGGAAACTGACACTGGTGTAGACAATTCTGCGCTGTGGCCGCCCTGACCAGATAACTGTCACCGCACGCATCTTGTCTTTTCTACCAGGCTTTGTCACATGCTTGTCTTCGTTTCGGGCCTTGACTCGTTTCTCTGCCTTACTCGGCGCATGCTTCGTACCTTCATTTCCGGACTCGGGGGTCATCTGTGCTTTCAGTGATGCTCGTGTGCCTTTGCCACGTGTCTTGCGCACCGCCTGCAACTCTTCTCCCTCACTTGAATCAGACTGGGCGACCTTGTTGCTAGTGTCAAGAGGTGACTTTGCAATACCTTGCTCGATCTGTGGCTTCTTGTTTGAGCGCTTGTCGACAGGCGCTGACTTGGCCGATGTGCTTGCATTCCGATCTTTACCCTGCGTTCCTGAGGTCTTCCCACGAGGGGTTGAGATGTTTTCTGCCTCTGAAAGGGTATTCTGTGTCTGGCTGGCCTTGCTGCTGCTACCTCCGCGCACAGCTTTTACGAGGCCTGGACCGCTTCCAACAGAGACCTTAGATCGGTCTTCATCCTCTGCATGCTGCAAGCCAGCTGCATTGGCCGTCGCAACTTCATCGCGACTCGAGTCCGGAATCTTCTTTTCCACGCTATCCTGAGTAACGCCCGTCTCGACGGCACCTTGGCCGGTAGACGTCTTTGCTGTCGCAGATGACTTTGCACGCTTGCGCTGGGCTGCCTGTTCTGCTATCGCGGCTCTGGCATCTTCAGCTGCCTTTCGTTTAGTCGCCATTGTGCACCAATTTAGAAGGTGTAAATTCGTGCCGAAAGAAGTGGATGAGGTCCAGGAAGTTAAATTGACTTGACTTCAATCGCGATAGACTAGCGCTTGTCACAGGCCGGGATGGCGTCATAATTTTCACATCTTGAGTGAATGATGACTCGACTTTAGCGCCCTTTTCCGTCCACGTGTCAATATTCGGCACATCTAGAACAACACGAAGGCTTAAGGAAATATCATGAGGTTGCGTGTAATCCGAGAGCTCCTGCTCCCTACTCATGTGGAGCGCAAGCCTCTGGTTACCCATAAAGCACTCGTTCTCTTCGCGACGGCCCTCGGGCTTAAAGTGCGGACGAACAGCGTCTCAGCTTTCTATCAACTGATCAAATTCCAGCCCGTCAGTGGCAAGGCATTCAATAGCGCAGCGATCTTTGCAGAAAAGTGTGCAAAACAGCCTCATCAGTCCCATCAGTTCCCAGGTACCTGGGTAGCCATGCATGAGAAGCCCAAAGAGGTTAGACGCACAATAATATCGTGGTTACAAGAATAGCGCGTAGGCTTAATTTGGGTATAGTCCTAAGCTATAAGAATCGTCATGCTTCTACTGCGACCCAGAAGCGCTGCTTCCAGAGTTGTGGTTAAGCGGACACCCGAAGTTCTGAGCCATTGGTGCAAGCATGGAAGTGATAGAATTCTCAACGGCGACAGGAATGTTGACCAGCTGGCCAAGTTCTGATGGGAAACCTCCGGTCAGTGCTTGGTAGATCAAGCACATGGCGTAGGATGAGGTCTGCTGGTTCAGATTGCCGTTGGTGATGTAGGAGCTGTAGTTCAAGCCGTTGAAGTTGCCTGGGCCGACGTTTCCGCCGAATGGTACTGGGTGTAGCAGATACATTGAGATGATCTGGTTGCCGACCTTGTTGTTGTCGTATGGGTCGACACGGGCACGCCAGTTGGGTGGAATGCGCTCTCCGCCGTTGAAGACGTATTTGCCATCAACCTTGTCCGCACCGAAAAAGGACATCATAGTCTGACGTATGTTAGCAGAAGTACCGATAAAATGGATATGAAGCACTCACGGCCTCGTCAGCAGTGCCACCTGCAGTTGGGAACAGCTCGTAAAGGAAGGACGCAGCTCCGTACAAGAGCAGGGATCCAGGACCGAAGAAGAAGTTGCCATTGTCTGCCTTGGATGCATTGTATCTGGCGTATCGGTAGAGGGCCAAGTGCTCGAGGTTGCAGTTGCCCTGGCAGTAACTCATCATCTGCGTGAAAAGAGTTGCGTTCCACCTGTAATTGTCGCCATTCGCCAAGAAGTAGTCATTGCGAGTGAGGGAAGTATCGGCCTCGAAATGGTTGTGGCCGTTCAACCCAAGCTCATCGGCGAGTACGTTGCCTGCAGTAGCTGTGCGAGAAGTGGCATCGCATCCGATAGAGAGCTTGGTGGTTCCAACGAGATCACCGTCGAGTCCGACGCCGGCAATGGCCAGCAGATTTGCAAGGTCATAGCCAACGTTGTAGACGTTCTGTTGTGCATCAACCAGCTCGTTGTAAGTGGTGATGCCGTCGCGAGCCAAGAAGCCATGGTTGGCCATGGTCTATTCATGTTAGTATTCCGACATTTTAAAATTACGCGTTGGCGACTTACGTTTATACCGGGGCATGGTCCTCGAATATCGGTCTTTGGGTTGGGAGCTTGGTACTGGTGAGCGGTGTCATCTGGATCTGGCACCAAGTATCCTCCTTTGCCGTTTCCTTGCTTGCCGTTGATTGCGTTGTTGTATGGATACTGCGAGGTGATTGGCGCAGCTGGCTGGTGGTTGGCATTGAAAGGACAGTCTGGACCATCTCGTGGCATATTAAGGCGGCTGGATCGTGGCAGCATGGATGAGTCCACACCAGGAGCATTCACGACCCAAGGGTACGCAAGAGCGCCTTGGGCGGCTGCGAGAGCAGCGAAAAGAGATCTTGGCGACATTGTGAGGATGTGCTTTGATCCTCAGGCTGTGGTTGCTGTTGCACAGACATAGGTACACAGCGGCAGCGCCTCGAAACTTATAGGGAACATTCAGTCCCTATGCTGCTCCCTGCCTCGGCCATTTTTGTTGACTAGCTCGTGTTCTCGAAGGAAGATTCCTCTGCTGTCCTGGTTGGTGCCTCAGCAGGACAAGCCAGGTTCTACAGTGATCGGCAGTGCATTAGTGTTCCCCGGAGTCCCTTTTATTATGCTACAAGCATGGCACATGCTCTGGTTTATGGCTGCACGTGGCAGAGATAGTCCTGCAGTGAGACGCCTCGGCGTTCTTGAAAGGGTCAAGCTATTGCAGTGATTCGTGAGCCGTCTCCTCGATGCAGATGTAGTCTTTAAATTCCTTCCATACTAAGCAAAAGCTGTGATAGCTTGAGGAAGCAGAAGTGTCTCCAAGCTTGCACATTGGGTTCAAGCTTAAATTTCCCGTTGCGGATTTGGAGACGGGACAGTAGCGGCAACACGCTCGCATTAAGTCTGATTAAGGGGGGTCCATTCGTGTTGTGAGCCAATCCTAGCGTCTGCATTACATGTTGGCCTGCCGGTCTCCCGTGCTATGCGATCGCACTCACTTTCAATTCAGCCCACAGCCAAAAAGATACCGAGGAGCGATAGGAAAGTCTAAGATCGAGGATGCCTTCACATCTGTCTTGAGCGAGTAACAATCTTCCGGGGAAGGGAATGTGGCCTTGCACAGCACAGCCGTTAAGAAATTGAGCTTGGGAAGTGTCCTATACAGTGAGCGCGCAGTAGCGAGTGCCATCGCTGAACTGTCGAGATTCGCGTGCGGTACTGTGGCTAGTTGTGCTGTAGCCTGGTCATCACGAACACGTATGCTTACCGCGCCTACCCAAAGCGGCAACCAGAGCGCATTCCCGAGGTGCTCATCCTGACCAGACTCGTGCTGTACCGTAGTGAAGGTGGTCTCTGGTAGCATGGGAGGAAGAGGGGCTTAATGTCCAAGACCTGATCAAGGAGCCTTCAAAGCCGATCTGCCAGATCGCACAGCACTTATAGGCGAGAGTTGTTGCCCCAAGATGGACGCAGAATGGCATACGTGGGTGGCTCTGCGCCTCTTGAAGAAGCATTGTGGATATCAGGGCTTTGTTGGTGGTGTGTTGTCGACTGCGCTTTCAGAGGTCTTCTAACTCCCGTTCGCCATATGAGCCACCTTTTGCATGCCCACTGACGTGACCTCCTCGTGGGTTCTCGAGCTATCCTGACGTCTCCATCATCTCTCGTCGTTCGCGTGCGTTCGCGTCGGCGTTCGTGCTTGCGCAGGAGAGCTGTCGAGCGAGGCTGTTGGGAGGTCCAAGGAGGCGAGTATAGGACGCGTAAGGTTATCTTCCATCTGGCGATATCTTCGGTACTGTATACCTAAGCTCATCGTGCATTGTCATTGGCGAAACGCCACTTCCACTGCGGCAGGCTTGCTCGTGGAGAGCCTGGACGGGGACGGAGCTCTGTAGAACCAGAGGCTCAATGCAGACTTTGTGCTGCAATTTTTGCCCCTACAAATTGTTTTTAATATATCTTTTTATCTAGAGGACTTATAGCTAAACAATATAAGACAAAGATACTCTAATTTAGGTCTCTTCTTAGAAAAAATTAAAATGTTTAGTCGTTACCTACTAAATTAGTAAGCTATATAGCCTAAAGCTCTATTAGACGTTTTAGGATTTTAGCGGTTTTTAAGCCTTAGTATACTATTTCTATTAATCTAAAGTCTAGGTCTTATAGCTTTACTTTATAAGACTCTATTTTAAGGTTTTTGTCTAAATATAGCTACTATTAGTAATATAATATACAAAAGAATACTATAAAAACTTAAATTGTTCTTAGATTCTGTTTTATATATCTTTTCATTTAGAAGAGTTATAGCTTAGTAATATAAGACAAAATTACTCTGCTTTCTATATATTTTTAGAAAATAACTAGAATTATTATAGCTATCTACTAAGATTAGCCTAAAATCCTAGAATTAAGATTTTAAGATTCTAGTATATTTTAGGCCTTAGTATACTATTTCTAGCAATTTGAAATTAAAACCTAATAGTTTTGTCTAGTAAGATTCCCTACTAGAGCTTTTACTTTAGCTAGTTTGTAAATAGTCTTATAACCTAAAAAAGAATATTTTTTTTAAAATTCTAAACTCTATATTCTTAAGCTTATAATTATTAAAAATATTCGCTTTTAGATAGTAAGACTAGTAGTAAGCGTATTTAGAAATATAGATTAAAACTAGGTAAAACAGTAAACCCTTAGTTCTAGATTTTAGATTGCTAAAAATAGTATTATAAGGCTTAACAAACACTAAAATCTAAAAATCTTTCTTTTAGAATTTTAGGCTACTCTTAGTAGATAACTATAACAGTTTTACTTAATTCCTAGGAATAGATAAAAAATTGTAAGAAGGGTATATTAGCAGGTAGATAGGGTAGTAGTAGGTATAGGTAGTATTCGATAAGGAGCTAGGAGGAGAGGGAGGAAGGTAGGCAAGTTAGCCTACTGCTAAGCGCCAAGCCCTGCCTAAGGCATCGAGACCCTAGCTTTACTCGAGCCCGGTTACATACTAATTACGTATAACCTCTTTAGTCCTAATATACGCTTCCCTTCTAAAGGCCGCGCCCTCGTAGCCGGTCTTTGTTCTAATCTTAATCTCCGTTGCCGCTAACTTAGCAGGTCTAATAAGCCGCTTAGTCCGCGCTAAATTAAACGTACAACTACCGATTATATAACTATGTTAAACCTCACCTCTAAACAATACAATATATAACTCTAACTACGCTATCTCTATATATAATGAACTATAAAGTAATATGTATCTATAAGAATTAAGGACCTTCGACTAATTATAATACGAGCGCGTCTTCCCTACTATAATAGGTAGACGTACGAGGTATTGCAGCCCTACCTCCGTTCTAAGTAATATCGTACCGAGTTCTTTGCGTCTACTCTAAAAGACCTAGCAATGTCCGCTTCCGAGGCCCGAGGGTTTGTCCGCTTCCGAGGGTTATTGTTCTTATTATTACGAGGACTATTATTTACTGTCGTAGTTTCACTAGCCCTAATTAGTTAGGTTTAGTAGCCTTTAAGTGTTAACTAATTATATCTTTTTAAAAAACACAGCTCGTCTAGTTTCTATAGGTAAAGGCTATTATAAGTGCAGTAGTAGAGGTTCGCCTCGCTTAAAGGGTTAGATAGATCGAGGAGTAACCTATTATCCGTAAGATCGACCCCGGCTAGCTTAGCTCTATAGTTTTGCCCTTAGTTAGTCTATTAGTCGCTTAATCTTTTAACTTAGTTAAAGTTTTGACTTAGCCTTAAAGTTTTAATCAAACCTTTAATAGGCTTAAAGCTTTAATTAAAGTTTTAATTAAGGTGCCTTAGGCTCGTAGTGTAGGTAAGGTTGTATCTATAGGCGTAGCGACAATAGCAAGTAATGTTAATAATAGTAGCGCTAGTCGTCTTAGCGCTAACTTCACCTTCTTTAACTAATAACAACTCGGCAATACCGTTACTAATATAGCGGTATCCTTTCTTTCTTAAATAGTAACATACCCCGCAATACTGCTACTAATATAGCCGCTCCGGCCGCGCCGTCCTTCGCTAGCTCGTAGCGCGACGCTATTATCTTTATTACCGTTATTCGTACGCGCGCGCACGTATCGCCCTTGTCGATCGCTTAGGCCTTAGGGCCTCGATAGAATAAAGGAATAAGAGGGGGGTCTAAGAGAAGGGTCTTGTAGGGTGCGCTAGTAAGGTGCGCTAGTAAAGAGGTAGATTCTATAGTAGTATAGTCTCATTGTCCTTTGTTGCTAACAATTGCTTGCTTCTAATTAGTTAGCTAATAGTACCCCGGGGGTAGCATTATTCCTAGGCGACATTATAGGCCCTTAGCCTTCTTCTTATTCTTTATACTAGTCTAATACTTATCTAACAACTTAGTTATGTCCTCGAAGGAACCTTTAGCTTCCTACGAGTCCTATTTAGGTAGATAGCCTTGCTATCTTAGTAGGTACTCCTTCTTGCCTTGCCTAGTCCGGTACTATAAGATACGTTCTATAGACTATAGCTCTTCGCTATTAGCTAAGATTTCTTCTAACTTAGCATACGCTTTATCGCCTTCGCGCTAGTAGTATAGTTTAAGAAGAGATATATAGAAGGTATTATAGATAGTGTAATAGGGTAGAAGCTATAACTAATAGGCCTATACGGAAGAGCCCTTAACTTCTCGAATGCGGAATAGGCTAATGTATCTTAGTGCGAGCTTAGGCTTTGTTTTGCTATTAGGTAATAGGTGTTTACGGATGCGGAGGTTCTTCGTACTTAGTATAACTATATCGCCTTGCTTAAAGGTTATTAGCGTATAGTGTTTGTTATAGTAGGCCTTCTAGTAGGCCTAGGCCTTTGCTAGTTTGTTAGCTATCTTAGCGTAAATTTCTCGTATCTTTTAAACCCTCTTAATAGCTACTAGTGTCTCTAGTACTTAACGCGCTTCTATAAAGGGCTACGCCCTAGGTAGAAAGCGCTAGCCTTAGGCATTCGGCCTACGCGACTCTAACCTACTGCTTAGCGCTTAGCGTACCGCATAAAACTATTCGGATTTACGTAGATAGACTTAGCTCTTTATCGAACCTATTAAGTCTTACATCTAGCATCTACGTACGCGTTGCTTACCCGTAATATTAGGTTCGATCTTTAATATAGGAAACGCTAAGGTTTATTAGGAACCCGAGTAAGATAGCTAGGGGAACGCTGCCTCTACCGTACTAGAGATAACTAGGGACGAGATTTATCGTGCCTTCGAGAGTCTCTATACTAGATAGCAGACGATAGAAGCCTAGCTATAGGCTACTCGTTCCGCGCTCTAATACGCGGAAGCGTCTCGCTAGCCCGGGCCTCCCGAAGCTAGTTTAGTACGAGACTAGTCTACGAACGAGATCCTA